TGTGTGAAAATACATGTTACTAAAATTAGAAGATTCGGCTCTATGACTTTTATAAAGATTCAAAGGAATCATGGACATTAATTCGCCTCACAAGGTGTTTTCTTTTGCCGCCAACAGGTTAGATCCTTTAAAAGTCGGAGGATAAAAAATTCTACGAAGTGAAACATGTCAGGTTTGATGAAACATTAGTCTTTAAAGACATTGGCAGCAAATAAAAGATTGCAAATTGCAATAACCGTAAGATGGTTATTAAAAAAAAAAAAAAAAAAATGAACATTATCTTTAGAAAACAATAACTTGTCCGTCTTTGTCAACACCGTGGTTGGTCCTCCCTCGCAATGTAAATCGGTTTGAAAGACAAGGGAGGCAAAAAAACTCCCTCCGCACTCGGCACCAAAAGCACCCGTCATCTCCATCAGTCGGCCACCAAAGTAAGTCTTGCATAACGAACCAAACGTGCAAAAGTAACGCAAACGACTCCCATACGAGTCCCCTCGCAGAAAACTTTCCGAGCTCCAGGTGCACTTTGGCCATTTCCACGCAACACCTGCCAGGCGCGGCAGAGGAAAATCCTCCAAGCTCCTGCGTAAAATTGTCGGCCAAAAGTGCACGTACCCACACCCAAACGGGAGGCCAACCCCCCACCCCTCCCTCTCTATTTCGTGGTATATACACACTCGACCGGCGAGGGGGCGCTTGCGCGAGCGGCCGGTGGTGGTTGCGGCGCGAAAAAGCTCCCCCCCCCCCACCCCCGCGGACACTTGCGCGCTCAATCGCGCGATCGTATGCGTGGTATACAGGCGCAATCAATAATTTCCGGGGGATATAAAAGGACCGGCGCCGCGGACCCGCCACGGCACAACGGACGGCAGAGGCGCGCCAGCAACTACTGCGACCGGTTGTCCACCCTCCGGGTCTTTTTTCCTCTATTTGACATTACGTGTCCATCTAGTGTATATATATACATACTCGCACAGAGGTACCTTTGCCGTATAGAAACATCGTGCGCGAGGGGAGGGGAAAAAAATAATACACGCGAATAACACGATTGGTGTGATCTGCAGGGAGGTGAGCCGCGGCGCCAGGCGAGAAGGACCGTCAACGGCGATCGGTACACCGGCAGCGTCATCCCTCCGGCGTCAGAGAAGTATAGCCGAGAGATATCGGCGAGGTGGTAATTATCCCAAAACACATTTCCCCCCCCCCATGTCCCCCTCGTAAATGGACACAATTAAAGAGTCTATCCTCAACTGCTCTAAGTATACGATCGCTTCGACACGGCGGTTTGTATGTACGACTCGTTGACGATTAAATCGAAGACGCGACCTCGGGGAATACGGTGACGCGAGCAAAGAGTGTTTATTTTATTGTAACCTCGGGTGCAGTGGGCCAGTGGCCGGTATCTTGTGAATTCGTGGTCAGTAGTGGTATCGAGAGTGCAGGGAGCCCCAGTGAAACATTGTGCGCCCCGTGACGTAGGACTGCGAGGCGAGCACTAGCGTAGCTCGCGTGGCCGGGGATCAAGGCGCCGACGGAAGGGGCCCCCCCCCCCGATCGGTTTAAGCGCCACTTGTTGCACGCGCCGTACGTGCCCTCCGGGATGTACATTTGTCGAAATATTTATCCTATACGATCGATACGTCATTGCTGGACGGTGGCTTTTTATTTTTGCGTTGTTCGTTGTAACGATCGAGCTTTTTTCGCAAAGTGCAAAGAAAAAAAAAAAAAAAAAATTTTAATCCCATCTGAAGGTCGCACTGGTTTCCCCAAAAGTATCGGTGTTGAACATAAATTGGGTATGGCATGAAACAGAATTGAAAAATCGTTTCTTCCTCGGTCGGGTGTTCGTTACTTTGTCCAAATTGTCTGTTTTACAGGGCGATTCTTTTGCAGTTGGAGGCGTGTTTCATGCAATATCCCGGGAAGTAGGGTAAAAGCCTTCGGAAGTGAACCAATAGTGCCAATAATCGTAAATAAACGGCTCGGCGGTATAGCCCATAACGTTCGATTAATCCGCGCAGCGGAGCCGCCGTATGGGTACGTTGCGGAAGTTTGCGCCGTCGCACGCAATAGCCGCGAAAAAAAAAAAAAAAAAAAAAAACACGTTTCCGCGAGTCTTCCTCGAGATCGACGTTGCTCGATTCATTCGTCTGGCCGAGTCTTGCCGTCAGCTCGAGTGCAAAGGTCTATTTGTGCGTCATATATAACCAAAGGTATGAAATTTACATGCGTGTGTCTCTTACGCAAAAGAAAAAGAAAATTAAATAAATCCTTGTAAAACGACTAAACCAAGTGACGGATTATTATCATTACAACGTATTCGTTATGTATCAATCAATGAAATAACGAAAGAAATCTGTTTACACATGAGGTTATTGACGAGATCTAATTATAACGAGTGAACAAAGAAAGAAATAGTATATCATACGATTGACAAAAGTTGAAAAATTGTAAAAAGAGCAAAAAATATTAGGTATGCAGTATTGATTCTTCGCACATTTGACCCTCTTCTTGGGGTGTTAGAAAAATGTAGAAAAAGAAGGGGAGAAGAAAGAAAAAAGAAAAGAAAAAAAATAATGGGAAGAGAAAAATCGGTGTAGGCAGGGATTTAGTCGAAGAGAGGCAAGAAGTTGGGTGCAAATGTGCGGGGACATGGTGTAGGCCTACTGGGGATTCCCGCCATGTAAAATAACGGGAACGCGTGCCGGGCACGGTACCCCATTGGGTGACGTGGAAAGCCGTGCATCATTACGTAATCACTGTGCGTCGAACTACTTACTTGCGTGTGTGTACACATATAGATATATAAATTTTTTTTTTCCTTCCTCGTCCACCCCCAAACTTCCTTCCTGGCGTCCTTGACTCTTAGTCCCCGTACGATAACGCGCGTATACGTACACGTGTGCCTGGTATGCCGAGCGACTTTGTTCGAGCTTAGGCGTTTGTATACATGCATAAAAATACTTTGACATCTCTTACAGCACGTGATGGGGTTTACGGAGGGATTTATTTATATATTTTATCGGATGATGAATTTTTTTCTTTTTTTTACAGCTTTTTGGATTAGGCCGCGTTGTTGATTTACTTTGTTTTGCAGCGGAAGATCGGGAACAAGGTTTTTCGTTGTATTCGAAAAATTGGGGTTTTCACGAGGAACAATTTGTCCAAATATCATACAGAGACGTGAAAATGGCGAGTCTCATAATTTTTACGTCAAACACTCGAGTAAAAAATGACAGAAACGCGAGTTTCTCTCGGAAAGAGAGACAAGTTAACCTGTCCCGAGATACTATTGCTGTTCGTCATTATTGAATAATGTAAGAAATTTTATACAAACACACAAAGTAGTTTTGCACAACATTTTGATGTAAAAAAAAAAAAAAAGAAAAGTTAGTCTAAAGATGAATTCTGGATTTTGTTCACGAGTAACAGACATGGACTACTTTTCAAGTAGAAACAGACAAAATTGGTCAGACGCGCGTAGGATGAGGGAGTCAAGTCTCTCTTACACGTCACCGATATTACTCGTTACATAAATATTATTGAACTTTACTCGTCAAACGATTAAACAAAAACGAAACTTTCCAATTATCGTACTACCATGAAATTGAATACCGAAAAAGTACACAACATAAAACAAAATGATGTATTGTAATAAAAATTAAAAATGTATCATATCTAAAAAAAAAAAAGGTAAATTTAGGAGAAGATAAAGTGCTATGTACAAGTTTAACAGTAGCAGCGCAAAAAAGGGACGATAAAACGGTGTACGGCGTCACTTTAGATAAGAATTTCGTTACGTGAAAAAGGTCGTCCTCTCGCGTTACCTTCCTATACCAGTGAAATCTAAATGGATTATCGCGCATACAAATAGGCACATATCTATATGACAAACGTGGAACGAAAAAACCTTGGTTCAACGAAAAAAACCCTATATTATTTGTAAATACCGCCGAGTCAAAGAGCAAATAGACGTGCAACGTACTCCCCCTTTCACGGATAAAATTTCCCGCCAAGTTTGCACTCTCACGCCACCCTCGGACGCCGCTCCGCGCCAAGACGTAAACGACGACGCATCGCTGACGAGTTAGCGCACTTTATAAGTAAATCTATAAAATTAAAAAAAAATCCCACCCACGCATCGAGTGTACTTTCGACTCTATGGGATAAAATTAAAACGCACGGGGAGGAAATCTTTGGGTCAACGATTGAAACAACTTTCCCGAGGAACGATGGAGCGAAATTCGCGCTGATAAACATCTCTCCAGTGCCCCGTGTCGGCGAATCGCTGCGAAATTAACTCCACGAGGAGCCTATGTGCTCTTGAGCTTTCGGGATCGTGGCTGTGTGTGCGTGTGTAAGGGCCCTTGCGTCGCCGTCTTGGTCGTCGGATGTACCGATAAAATTAAGCTCGAGGTTGCATTACAGGGCACAAAGACGACGACGTGGAGCGAAGCGACGGAGTTAAGGCTAGCCGCGTTGTGAAACTTTATGCGAGTTGTATAGGTGTACATGGTGAAGGCGTTATTTGGTGCACGAGGGAAGGGATGAAAGGCTCAATTGATAGTTTCGTTATTGGTTTATCAGTGATAAAAAAAAGAAGAAAAAAAAACAAAGAAAACTATAGTGTGAGTTTTACAAACTGTATGTGAATCACGCAACGGGTTAATTGGTTTTTCTTTAATATTAGAGTTACACTGGTTGAAATTGCTAAAAAGTGTGGAGTTTTGTCATGTGATCTGATAATTATAGTTTAAAGAAAAAAAGGGTGCAGTCCCCTGCAAGGATGTTAGACTTGCGACAATAAGTTTCACGTCCGCGTGGCCTTTTTGCAATAAATTTCATTTTTTTGGGTGTCTTTGTTTTTCAAATTGTCAAATACTCGCTAACGAAGCACTTGAGATTGTAAAGAATCGCAAGGTATTTTTTTTAACGATTTTCTATGGGTTACTCGTAACTTTCGACTCGCAAAGCCCGGGCATGGCAATTCATTTGGAATTTCACCGGCCCGTAACGAGGTGATTACGAGCTTGTGCTCCACACATCGTGCGCGTACAATTACACCCATTGGCTTTAATATTTACGACTAAAATCGGTTGAGTTTTGGTCAGACGTATTTAGCGAGCCAGTGAATTAAAAATCGATATACGGGGTATTTTCATCCCACCGCGTGTACAACTGAACGCCAACTGTGCCACTTGGTTTCACGATTTCGCGCGCGTCACGTTTATTCGTGAAAGTCCATCTAAAAGAGAGAGAAGGGCCGTAAAAATAGAGGGAAGCACCAAGGCTCGACTTAAAGATGGACTTACGTGTAATGTACCGTTGCCGTGAATCACATTTTTCTCCGCCAATCCTGTCGCTTTCAACATAATTAAGAAAATGCCCAGCCAACGCGTACTTGTACGAATCAAAGTCCAGAACAACTCGAAAAATCTCGAGTTTGGAAAAAAAAAAAAAAAAAAAAAAACATATCCTCGAAGCACTCGAGTCGTTTTGTCAGTAGAGTGGAAATCCTCCCGCGCGAGAGGGAAGATTTAGTACCCACACATCCGGCAGAGAGTTTATCCACCCAAATCGCTCCCGTGGCCCGGGATTCCCGAGCTTGGGGCTATTCGAGGGTGTCTCCGTTTGGAGTAGTGCGCGCGCGAACTGAGCTTTTTCGTTTTTTCACCTTCGTCTTCTTTTTTACACAAGTTTTTCCGGATCAGTCTGTTGGTGGGTTAAAAAAAACCGTTCAATCCCTCCTTACGCTGATTCATACGATTAACCAGCTCAAAATATAGAGATACACTCAAAACAAGTGTCACTGCATACGATTAAAGATTTTTTTTTCTTTACATCAAGTACCTGCACCCGACGTCAATATATCGATCGATCGATTCTTCCTTCATCGACGCGTATAGTTGGACCACACACATTTATACATATATATATATAGTTTTAGCCCCAAATCGTTTAACACGCGAAGCCATTGTTCCGACGTCTCGACAATAACCCACGAGTAAGTACATTACGGCCACAATAACAGAACTTTGCGCATACAGGCACACACGCTACACACACGTGTACTCACACCCTTTCGTAAGAGACGCGCATACAACCTACGTCGTCGCATAATTTAATGGAATGGCGTGGGCGTCGCTGCTACACACGGCCTTGCCACGCGCACACCTGTACGTATAGGTGTGTGTACTTGCGTGTATTTGACTTGGATTCGCGAGCCCACATGGCGCATTTTGTGAGTTTGCGAGACTATTGTTATTATTATTTTTTTTTTTGTTAGTTTTGTGTCGTGGGTAAAGATTTTTGAAAATTTCCGTCTTTCAGCGAAAGCTCGATATTTTTAACTCTAGGCTCGAAGGGTAAAATCTCATACTTTGGATGTGAGAGTGCAAGTGCGTGACTGACGTTGAAATCTCCCAAAGTTACGTAACTTCCTTACCCTCGAAATCAGCGGTGAGCTTTGAATTTCGATGTTTCGTCAGTCCACCGTCATTTCGTATAAAAATACACAATATAATGGGACCGCCACCCAGGGATCTGATTTTTTCGGGCTCCTCGCTACAGAAGTGATTATTTTCGAGTGCATGACGTACGAGGGGCGTATATATATATATGCAAGAGCCTTCCCCTGTAACGATGACTCGTTTGCGAAATGTCACGATTGTTCCTTTGTACACGGAGGAAGAATGTAAAGTGGCGTGAAACTTTTGTGCTGCTCGTCGTTGAAAATCTTTCTTTTTTTTTTCTTTCTTTTTTTTTTTTCTTTTTCTTTCAGCGAGTATAAATATACACTCCAAGTTTTTCCTGCAGAGACGTCCATTAGGAAGCTTCGTATTTGAGCGCGTCTGTACTATAATGTACTTGTAATAATAATATTCACTTGGCGATGGGTGAAATTTTCATGACGCAACAACGCGATGATCAATTGCGCTACACATTATTTCACACGTATAACAGTCGTGCAAAGGTAAACTCGTGGTTTTAACGTGTAGCTTCTCATATATACCTACCATCTTACGTCAGAATCTCTGCTCTACATCCGATTTAGCTTCAGAAAGGATTATTGCATTGGATTGTACGAAAGTGCCCAAAGTCAGGTTGGTGGAAAGTTCCATGCAACTGATAATGTTGCGTTTGTCAAGGCGACGATCGATCTCTGTCTATATAAAACACAGGACAACTTGTAATATAATTCAAAGCGAAATATCATTGGAGCATGTATTATGTACTCCATTCGAGTTTACACCTCCGTTAGCATCACTCCAACCGGGTTGTTGTTGTTTTTATCGCGTGAAATACAATGTCACAACTTGACGAATATACCCGTCCGCTTGCGGGTGCGGTTTGTCCGATCGAGTTCCACCAGCAATCTTCAAACTTATTCAATTCGTCTCGTTTACTGTTTCTTACCCTTATACTCCTTGGCTTCATCCCCCCCAAGTGCAAAGGCATCGACGCGCATAACCGTGGGTTTTAGCCGCCATAGGGTCCCGATTTGTTGTCCTCTCTCTTTCCGTCGCACGTGACCTTTGGGGTGGCTCCGAAAAATTTCGTACGCGACTGGAAGGAGAGGAAAAAAAAAACGAGGTAAAAAAGCCCGAGTGTACTCATTTGCACGCGTAC